TCTTAGCCACTCAGTCAGTCCATGTCTCTTAATTGGAGAATTTGATCCATAATCATTCAATGTTATAATCGATATTTTTGGACCTGTTTCTATCATTAAGTGAGCTATTTTCTTGATTGATTTTTGTTCTCTTATAACTGTCCATGGGACTTTTTAATTTTCCTGGTATAGCACTCCATTCAGAACCTCTTGAGGAGCTAGTCTGGAATTGTTAAATTCCTTCAGATTTTGTTTATCCTGAATGTTTTTTTCTTTTTTTTCACATGTAAAATGTAATCTTGCTGGGTATAGTATTCTTGGTTGAAATTGTTTCTCATGCAGCACTTTGACTATATTTCTCCATTCTTACCTTGCCTGTGTTGTTTCCACTAAGAGGTCTAATGTTAGACTGATTGAGTGACCTTTGTAAATAACTTGACGTTTCCTTTTTGCCAACTTTAGTATCTTGACTTTATCTGTTGCTTTTGCCAATCCGACTATGATGTGCCTTGGAGAGGATCTTCTTGGATTAATTCTACTTGGGGTCCTATGTATTTCTTAGGTCTGGATATTTGAATGCTTTACTAGGTTTGGAAACTTTTCTTCCAGGATTTTATAGAATAAATTATCAATTCCTTTGTTATTTTCTTCTTCTTCTAGGATACCAATTATCCAGAAGTTGAGGCACTTGATGGTATCCAGTATTCTTCATATATTATCCTCATTTTTCATGGTTGTTTTCTCAATCTTCTTGATACTTTTTTCTAGGTCAGATGTTTTGTCTTCTACGTTAGAGATTCGATCTTCTGCCTAGTCTAACCTACTTTTAATGCTTTCAAGGGAGGTTTTGATTTCCTGTATCACATTCTTCAATCCTAAAAGTTCCATCTGGTTCTTGTTTAGGATATCCATTTCTTCTTCAAGTCATTAAAGGACTTCCTCATCTCCTGGAGCTCCTTGTCTCTTTTGTCTTCCATCTCAATTAGTTTGGTCACTACAAATATTCTGAATTCCTTATCAGACATGTCCACGACGTCTATTGTATTACTGTGGGTGATGTAGGCTTGATGATTTCCCTTGAGGGATAGGCCTTCTGTTGGTTGCTCATATTTCTTGAGCCTCTGCGATTGTTCCTAGTCATCAGGTAATCTATGTGTTTCTTCCTAACTTATTTAAGGTATCTTTGATTCTTAAGAGTTGTACAGGTTTTGAAAATTGATGATTTCTCTTTGGTTGGCCTACCTGTTGCTCACAATTACCATTAACTGTTGCCACTAGCCCGGGATGGCCCAAAGTAATAGCTGTTTCTAAGGAGTGGTGAGCCTTCCACTGACCCAATAAGCAACAACCCAAGAACAAAGAAAAACAAAATGGATAAAGGAAATAGTGTGGCACACATTGCGCACCACACGTTACTCAAATCACCAAAATTCAAAGAGTCCAAAGGCTAGTGGAAAAGGCAGATGATGAGTGACAGTACCAGGTTGGTCGGGACTGCAGCCTCAGTCCGCCTGGTTTCCAGAACTGCTGGCCGGCTCGATCTGGATTGCAGGTGGGGTGGGGTGGGGGTTCGCCTTATAGTCCCAGGCAACCAACCTGAGGTCCAAGGAGGAAGAACGGTGGGGATGCATGGAGATTCAGAAGGGTCAGGCCTGCAGCCTCAGTCTGCCTGGTGTCTGGAACTGCTGGTTGGCTCGATCCGGATTGTGGGTGGGGTGGGGTGGGGGTGCGCCTTATAGTCCCAGGCAACCAACCTGGGGTCCAAGGAGCAAGAACGGTGGGGATGCGTGGAGATTCGGAAGGGTTGGACAGCCTCAGTCCGCCTGGTGTCCGGAACTCGGCCTTCATCTTTTAACAATTTATTTTATTTAAAAATAGGTTTTAAATTGACATTTAATCACTGTTCATCCTTACAGTGTTCAACATGGTTTCTTCCCAGCACGAATATAATGCATGTTAGTCTTGTCAAAGACATTATCATCCACAGATATGTTTTCATTTTGTGTCTATTGAATGATTTGTCTGTTATTTTTATTTTTTTCCCCTTAAAGAATTGCTCTACTAAGTGTGGTTGAAAATTTTTGTTGTTCTTGGTATTTTCTTTTAAAGAATTACTTATTTAAATTTTATTTTTTGTTATTATTTTTTGCTATAGGATACATGTGCTCACCAGAGAGAGACAGAGACAGAGAAAGTGAGAAAACAAGCCACTAGGTCTGGGACTTGAACCGTTGGCCATGTGGGAATCCAATTCTTCAACCACTATGCTACCTATCCACCTGGTTGGAACTTTTAAATATGAATAGGTATACCTTCCAATCTTTTAATTTTTCCTTTAGAACACAGACTTTGGTATATATTGAGTGGGGACATACCAACTCTGTCTGTCATAGTCTGGCTTACTTCACTTAACATTACATCTTCCATCTTTGTATCAAATATTAGGGTGTCATTGTTTTATATGGCTGAGTAGTATGCCATAGAGCATATATGTCACATATATATCTTTTTTCAATGCACTTATTTATTTTTGGACATTTGGCTTGATTCCATGTCTTATAACAGCAGGGAGGGATATTGTAGATTCTAGAGATAGTAAGGGAAGGGTAATAGCATGTGGATAGAGGTAGAAAGGGAGGGAAACAGGGAAGAAAATAATACATTTAATTGACACAAGAATTAGAAGTTATGGGACCAGCAGGTAGCATGGTTGTTAAGATGCTAGACTCCCACATGGTCAACCGTGGTTCGAGTCCCAAACCTTATAGCTTACTTTCTCACTTTTTCTAGCTGTCTGCCTTTCTCTGGTGAGTGTAAGTCTCCCACTCTCCTCCCACGCTGTCTCTGGTATCTATGTTTGCTTTCTATAATCCCCCCCCCATTTTAATGAGTCACTAATAGCTTGCTTTCTCACTTTTTCTGTCTGTCTGCCTTTCTCTGGTGAGTGTAAGTGTCCTATAAGCATATTAAAAATAAATAAATAAATAAAATAATTCTTAAAAAAGTGAAAAGTTATTTGCTGATGATAATGTAGATGGTAATATCTTGTTGTGAATATTATGCACTGTTTTTGTGTTGGGAATAACGATGTTCCGCACTTTAAAGATGTATAGTGATTAAATATAAATAATAAATATATGTTAAAAATATGAGTAGATGGCCAGAGAGCACCCTTTAATTTTGCTAGAAGAAATGCAAAGTGTTATAAAGTCTTAGGGAAATTTTTTGGATAAAGATTTAAAAATAAAACTTTTAAGTAGTCCTTATTTAATTTTTAAAAATGTTTATGAAGCCAAAATTTTAATTTTTTTCAACACAGAACTTTATCTTCTTTTGTATATGAGATGTTTCTTCCTTTTGTTCCTCCCACTTACCTATTACCACCTACTCCCCTCCCTTATGGTCTCTAGTATCTACACTTATTCTCTCTGCTATCATATCTTCAGATCTTTCTTTAAATTTGAGCTTCTCACACTCAGCATCACTGCAATTCTGGGCCAGATTATTCTACATGGTGGGGGTTTATCCTGTGTATAGTAGAATAAAAGCTACTACGTTACTAGTAACCTTATCTTATACAAAATTTTCTCCTGTGAGAAGAGGAATAGCAAAATTCTGGAGATATGCAAGCAAAATTCTGGAGATATGCAAGCTATATCCCCATCATAAGGCACTGTTTTTGAGATCCAAAGGGGCCAGAGAAAACATGTCTCTCAGTCTTAGACTTCAGGGGGAAATTTTTCTTTAATTAAATTTATTTATTTACATTCATTCACTGTACATCATTACAGCATACAAATTGAGATTTTCCATCCTGAGTACACTGTATATTGGCTCAATCAAGCACATCAACATACATGTTATCATCAACAAATAATTTTCCATTTCTTATTTCCTATATGTTTTACTTTTTTTCCCATCCTTGATTCCCTATCTCTTCCCCTCGGCCATCTCCTACTCTCCTCCCACACTGTCTCTGGTATCTATGTTTGCTTTCTATAATCTCCCCTCCCCCAATTTATTGAGTCACTAATGATCTTAATTAATCTAAATATTTTCATAACAAGCACAGCTGATATATACATTTCCATGAACACAAGTCCAACTTTAGGCATAAGTCTCAGTGAGTAGAATAAACATCCTATAAAGTAGCACCTCACTGAGGCTATATATCTTACTGCAGGCATTGAATAGATATTTTTAATGCATTTTTTTAAATTTCAAGTAAAACCGTTTGTTTTTTTTTCCTGAAACTTTTTTCTTAACTTAATTTACATTCTTTCTCTAAGCATCACCACAGCATACAAAATGTGATTTCCCATCCAGAATATACTGCATACTGGCTTAATTGTGCATATTATTATCAAATTTTTTATTATTTTATTATTTTTATCAAAAATTTTTCATTTCTAGTTTCTAGAATTTTTTTTAACCCCTATTTCTGACCCTCTGTCCTTTTCAGGGGAAAATTTTAATTCAGGGTTGCTATAAACTCTTAAGAATGGGAGTCAGTTGGTGGTGTACTGATTCAGGTGCTGGGCTCCCATATGGCTAGCTGTGGGTCAAGTCTCAACCCTGGTGGCTTGCTTTCTCACATGCTCTTTCTGTTTCTCTCTGGTGAGTACACATGCCCTACAGCAAATTAAAAAATAATAATAAATAAAATTAAACAAATAATTATAGAAACAAAAACAAAACAAAACAATCACCCAAGGGTGTACCTTGGAAGTCTGCAGAGTTCATGGAGAAGAAATAATAGACTTGATTCATTTGATTTCTAACATGCTCCCAAGGGGAACAGAAAATCAACAGGGAAAGTTTCCTTTCTGCCTTGACCAAGTACCCAACAGGGAAATCAGGTGCTCAGAGATAAATTGATAAGATGAAAATGTGCCAAATGAGAGGACAGAGGGAGTTGTAAAGGTTTCTTCTGTTATTGTCCATGAGAGGGATCAGCCTTGGACTAGATGGCATGATTGTTTCTTTTAGAGTCCTGAGACTGGCTTGAAACCAATGCTTACCTCATTCCTACTGTCTCATTCAGGAGCAGTCCTTTAGTCTCCATCATCAAGCATTCAGGACAGGATTCAGACTTTTCCATGGTGCTCTTCCTTTCAGAGACTCTATTCAGGTGAGTCTGAGAGTACCCAGTAGATACTGCAGGAAGGGTTTGGAGAGGATGGGAACTACAAAAGTGTACCTGAGATCTCCAGAGAACCAAATGCAACCCAGCTCAGACCTGAGAGTTTGCTGGGCTTGTTGAATCTTGGTTGAATAATTAATGTAGAAATCATTTATTTCAAATGCTAAAAAGGCAAATGTTGGTTAGACTCAATGAGGCAGGAATAATTCTTGACAACTAAGTGATGGAAATGAAAGTCCAACTGATGAGAAAGAATGGGAAGCATGAATGGTGCTAATAAAATCAAATGATATACATGGGGTTTTGCAGTTAAGGAGACAGGGAAAATAAGAGTATTACATTTGGAGGAACATGTAGTGTGGTTAAGGTTTTGATTATTAAAAAAATTATTATTGGGTATGTTTATTTGAGTATGTTTCTGTAGTTATGGCCCAGACTGGGTTGGATCCATGGCCTGGTGGTAAAGGCAGGAGAGTCCCACATGGCTGACTGCACAGTTCAAGTCCTGTTATGGGTGGCTTGAGAAACATGTTGGGTGTGTGTGTGCACCTAAAAATCCTTAAAGAGAAAAGAGATGGAGGAGAAAGGGCTGTCATGTGACCATTACCTATGGGGCAAAATGCTTTCTCACTTTCCCTCTCTATTTCCATTTCTCTCTCTGGTGATCACACATGCCCTCTAGCCAAAGTGGGGAAAAAAGATCCAGACCAATGGATTGCTTGACAATACTATCTTGCAACAGCATCTCATGAGTCATATATTTTGCATTATCTTTCTCACATTGGGTAGTTCAGATGAAAAGTAAATGTTTATTTAATAGGTGACAAGGGGTGTCATAACAATCATTTCCTTTTATTAAAATTTTTTCTTTTTTTTTTAAATTTTATTTTCTCTTATACAATCAATCATATTATTTCTTACAAAGTGAATATTCCTACATGTGAACATTCCTCCCTAGTTCAGTTGATAAAACTGTAGAATATCTTCAACAGATATTACCACATTTCTTTATAATTATATCCTGATTGTGAGTCTGAATATATTTGTGAGTGTGCTAGTCATTGCCCTTCTCTATAGCCAGTTATTTGTGTGAGATCTTCACTTTTGTACAGTGAGTTTGAAATCTTTTTATTCCTACTCTTCATTGCATACTTCCAAACATAAAAACGGGAATTTTTTCCTTTTTTTAAAATCAACCCTACTGTTTGACATTTAGTTCTTATCCTTCTTCCTTCCTCTTCTTTTCTCCTCTTTCTTCTTCTCCTCCTCCTTCTCCTACATTTTTAGATGTACTTGGAGGGAATGTTAAAGTTTACCATTTTGTGTGGCCTTATGTATCTGTTGGTCATATGAGGTACCCTTCCCCACCGTTGCTTAGATAATTAAAAAGGCTTGCTTTGCCCTTACAGATAAAAATGAAAAGCCAAAAAATAACAACAATAATAATTTTAAAAATGACTGCTGCAAAAGAAAGTGAGAAAATGACCTACTTCATCTGCTATTGGACCATATGAAAACAAATATGGTCAGATACATATGGAATTGTTACAAGAATAATGACTGCAGCAGGGGCTGGGCTGATATGGTGATAACATAATGAGGGAAGTGGAGCAAAAGGTCTCAGATCATGGAGACAGTGTGAGAAGAGGGTGGAAGATAAGGGAAGGTGAGAGGAAGGGAATCAAGGAGACAAATATAGAGACAAGATACTTAAGTAATACGGAAATGGACGATTGTCTGTTGATGAAAACATGTATGGTAATATCTTTAAATAAACATAATGAGGGAAGTGGAGCAAAAGGTCTCAGATCATGGAGACAGTGTGAGAAGAGGGTGGAAGATAAGGGAAGGTGAGAGGAAGGGAATCAAGGAGACAAATATAGAGACAAGATACTTAAGTAATACGGAAATGGACGATTGTCTGTTGATGAAAACATGTATGGTAATATCTTTAAATATATTGTTATGCAGTATATTTATGCTGAGAAAATTCATTTTCATACTGTTATGATGTACAATGATTGAATGTATATATAACCAAAAAAAAAAAATCTTTGAAACAG